TGTTTGCGCCGACAGTCCCTAGTGAATGAAGATAATAATGTTATTATATTAGCCTGCTACGTTCGCAATTAAAGAAAACATTACGTGGGACCGAGTGAGACACAAAGGAAGCGAATGGCAAAACAAAAGGGGTCGGAGCAAAAAGGACCGGTATTACAGATAATATGTTATGCATATGTTGTTATTTTACATTGGCTGTTATGATCGAAGTGTATTTACAAATGAATAAACATAGGTTTGAAGAGATTGTAAAATAGAATTGTATTTCTTATGCAAGCTCTTAGTAATGGTCGCGTTGTTGAAACATAGTTTTTGACTATTAGTTAATGTCACCTCATATAATGTCTAAATTGTTGACAAATGGTTATTTTTCTAAAGTATTTTCACTATAGTCAAATTAATCTATGTTTTTTGCGGCATTAAACAAGTTTTTGTTTCATTGAAAAAAGTAGAGGCACAGTTTAGGGTGTGGTAGAAAATTACATTTTAGAAATCGTGTTTTTATGTAAACACTTACGCCAAATATTTTAAACCCTACTTCCTCCTTGACCCAAGTTAAAGTTTTACTGTAAATTTGAGAGATTGCCAACTCACACTTTATTGGCTTACCCATCTATATACTTATATAAAAAAAAACTATTAAACCATGAACTGACACAATAAATATCCTCGCTAGCATATTACATTACATTTTATTAACAAATAACGATATTTTCGTATTTACCATTATTCCTATTATTACACACTCAAGAAAGCTATGTCCTACAATTCTTTTCACAGATATACACACATCAAAAGTGTCTAGGGATCAACATATATTTTTGCAATAACTTTTCTCCTGATTGATATTAATTAAAATTTTCTTTAAGGATTCATCAAATAAAGTGTTTTCGTTTGTCACAGTAACGATAAACCAAGTCACCTTTGCATTAATAAAGAAATTTGCCATTTTCCTAATAAAGGGATTTTTGACATTTGAACCACTAACACAAAAGTTCGAAAAAAAGACTGAAATAACAGTTTTCTCTAAAATTTTATTGGGTAACTTAAACAATTAATAATCCGTATTTCTACCGCGAACACTTACAACACAAGAACATCGGTTTGGCATACTCAAAATGAGTTCATCCAAATCACGCTGTGGAATGGCCGCCCATGTTCGTTGCAACAACAAAAAAAGGTCTTCTTGCGACTGGATACCCTCCATATTCGGCAGAGCTCTTCTCTGTAGCATATCCCATGCATGCTCAATCGGGTTCAAGTCTGGCGACTGAGCAGGCCAGGGCAGGACATTGATGTTAGCTGCGGCGAGAGTCTGTCTTACAACTCTTGCGGTGTGCGGTCGTGCATTATCATGCATTAACTGAAATAAGGGACCGATTTGCACTTGTAGAGGAACGATGACGTCTGATACAATCGTCTCAGCATAAATTTGAGCGTTGAGGTTGCCTCTGATCCAAATCAACTCAGTTCTTCCGCCGATCCAAATACCCGCCCATACCATGATGGTTCCACCACTATAAGGATGGACTTCCTGGCAGGATTTTAATCGCTGTTGGCGTCCAGGGGTTCTCCAGTGTCGTATACGTCTTGTATCCGGTCTCATACCAAAACGAGACTCATCAGAAAAGCACACGAAACGCCATTGTTCTTCTGCCCAATTTCTGTGTTCAAGAGCCCATTGATATCGAATCCTACGATTGTGCATTGCTATAGGTGGTACCCGTAGCGGTCTTCGGGAATGAAGGTTCACTTCATGCAAGCGGTTTCTGACTGTTTGGTCGCTAATTAAGTTCCCTGAAGAGTGATGAAGCCTCACGGCTAACATCATGGCGGTTATTGTTGGAGCTCTTCGAGTTAAGATTTGAATGTATCGGTCTTGTCTCCGTGTGGTGCAGCGATACCGTCCTCCATGGCGCTCAGCCACGGTACCAGTGCTTCGGTATCGTGTCCAAAGTCGACTGATAACACTCTGACTTGTATTCAGTGCTAAAGCCACAGTACGTTGCCGGGAACCAGCTTCTATCATTCCCACGGCTCTGAGCATTTCTTCCCTGCTTAAATGACGTCGCCGCTCCATAATAACGTTGGTTTTAATCAGTAGTAGGGAAACAGTAGCACTAATAATGTCTTCAATGCGTTGTATGTTTTTATAGGGAAAATATTGACAGCTGATTTTCATCTTTTACTCGAATTTGATTCACAGTTCCTGATTCAAATTATGAAATGCACCAAAAAGGATCCATATAAATTTATAAAATCATAAATTTATTACAAAGCCACATCTCAATCTCAAGAAATCCGCATAAAAATGCTTGATCCCTAGACACTTTTGATGTGTGTAGATTGAAATAAATATATTAGATAACTCAAATCTATGTAATTTGCGTGGTCAAAGGGATACCAATGGACTTTCTTGTACTTTTATTATTTCATCGTGTCAGCGTTCTCCATAGCGGACGTCAATTTTACTGTTTTGAAAATATCTAACTATGTCACATTGAACTATAAAGAGTTCTCTAAGGGTTATTTGTTCCTCGTGAGTACTCAAAATCTGACGCGCTCGGTTTCCATGCAATTTGAAGAACATGCGTTCAAACGTATACTTCAATCTAGGTCTGTGATTATTTGAAAAATATCCAAAAACACTAAGACTGTTCTCACTTGTGTGAGGAGAAGATGTAACTAAATTCAAAATAAGACAAAACGCAGGCGATACTGTAACACTGCAACCACCAAGAAAAACTCTTACAGGTTCAGCATACGAAGTTTTAATGTTATTCCGTTCCAGAATACGAGTATCAGAGTGGTTTAACTTTCATCGTTCAATTAGAAGTTAAATATAAACATTGCTTTGAAATAAGCTTTCAACAAACTGACACTCATTGGTATCTTACAAGTATAGACTAGGAAAGACAGTGAAAAGGTATTACTAAAAATAAATGGATAAGACTAGATTTAATTTAATTCTATTCATAAAAAGACTTGTTGGTATCCACGAATTCATTCGCATGGAATAATGGAAGTTCCTTACAAAGTTTTATCTCCTATAAGTTTCATTTTCAAAACAAAAAGTAGACAAGGTATGCCCTTCTCAGAAATCCTCTTTATCTCAACATATTGTCTTAAACTTTCATGGTCAAGCTTACTAACATTGTAGTAATTTATATTATTTACGGGATTGCCTCCATGTACCTTGTTTTTTTACTAACTGGCAAAAAAACAAGGTACTTACATGGTAACAATCCCGTAAATATCATAAATTACTACAATGCTAGTACATAATAATTTATTATATTTACGGGATTGTTACCATGTAAGTACCTTGTTTTTTTGCGAGTTAGTAAAAAAACATTGTATCATAAAATTAAAATTCATCTAAACCGGAGATTTAGCTGTAAAAGCGTTATTAAAAGACAGACAAAGGGGCGAATTCACAATTTAGCACTGATTAAAAATTCACTTTACCGTTGATGGATTGGAGCTATTAATTACAAGTCTAGTCAAAAACAATAGATTTTTAGAAGAAGCAAGTTCCAATAAACTAATACCTACAATTTGCAGTAAATTACCGATGTGTGTGATGGAAACCACAGTAAACTATACTTCCTAAATTCACTTCACGCAGCTCCGAAATTCCGACAATTTTACACAAAGCTGTACCTACTACCTACATTGCGGAAATAACCAATTTCCCACTACAACCTGATGCATTGTTGGGATGCAAAACTATGCTCTTACAAATAATAAACAGACTTTAGTGTAGCTCTTGACGATAGCAGACATACTGATGAAACAAAATATGAGGCGTAAAATGAACAAGGATTTTAGATAGAGCAATAGATATGCAAACATAACAATATGACCAGCTACCTACATACTTAGTTACATATGATATAAGGATTAACAACCGTTGGTATTTCTCAATAATTTAATAAATAACAAGCAAATAGCTTATACGCAACGGATTTTGTGCTCTGCTCAAAGGCCATGGGTTCGAGTTCCTGAAGCGGTACTTGTGTGACGAGCAAAAATATTTTAATTGCCCATACAGATTTTAAGTTAATTTAAATAGTTTGCTCCCAATTCGTTGCTGTATTCCAAAACTAAAATGATAAATGAATGAATAATGAATATTCGATTTTTATGGCTACACGTGCCTCTTCGGCATGACATTGACCCACATATTTTCAATACAACCCTTATTGGTTTCCTCATATAGATAACATAAACACGTGAAAAGGGGATAAGTGAATCCGATCAAACCTACGTAAAAGTCTTTTTATGTAGATTTTTGGCCAGGAATCTTAAAAAAAATGCGAAATAACAATAATATTGTAAAATTTACATAAAATACACGCGCTTTAAAACCAAAACAAATGTGAGCCCAACTCAATATTAAGCAAATTATTCAAGAATCTGTTAATAAAGCCGCAAATATAATTGAGTTATCATCATCATCATCATCATCAGCCTATTAATGTCCCCACTGCTGGGGCACAGGCCTTCCCTATGGATGGGAGAGGGAGATTGAGCCATGACCCACCACGCGGGCCCAATGCGGATTGGCGGGTGCTAACGACTGCAGATGCAGCCGGGATCAACGGCTTAACATACCTTCCGAATCATGGAGGAACTCGAGATAGTAAATTTTGGTCACCCATCCAATGACCGACCACTGCGAAAGTTGCTTAACTTCAACGATCGCAGCCGAACGCGCTCACCACTTGCGCCACCGAGCTCCTCTTATATCCTCTATACTTGAGTGTACGGTTACAATTATATTTGTATGTCGCGATGTGTCGACACCTTACTCATTGAAACCGTACTAAATGATATGTTCTAAGTATGAAACAGATAGATCTCTGCCGCGTCTCGACTCGACAGACAGTATAATATTTTTAAGGCTTGAACCACTGTTAGGCTTTAACCTTGAAATCTTCAATGAGAGCAAAAATGGAGTTGATAATTTCATAAATTTGTTTTGCTTTTTTATCAAGGTTGGCTGGCTGCGAGCCGAAGACCAAACAGTTTTGTCGCTACACGAGAGAGTAGTGCTGGGACCCCGTTATTCCATCAGTTTGGACTCCCCGAGCACGTGGCAGCTGCGGATAAAGCCGCTTAGGGCGGAGGATAGAGGCTGCTACATGTGCCAGATCAACACGCAGCCCAGCATGAAGTGGCAGATTGGCTGTATTGACGTTTACGGTGAGAAACGGTTTATAGATGTGATTTCATTTTTGTTGAGTATAAATTTCAACAGCCACGTATGTCAAAATTTCTAAATAAAATTAGCTCTTAACCTGTTTTACACATCGCAGTTTCAATTGATTAAAATTTAATAATGTAAAAGTTAATCATGTTTTAGCATGAATGAGGCTTAAACATGATAAACTGTTGAATTATATTTAAGAACTTTAGTGCAAATATATCTTAGACTTATTAAAAACTGTTTTTAAGTATCTTAGGCCAAATTGCAAGAATTTTACTTAATCCCAATTTAACTAAAACTAGATGCATCCCATACAATAATGTTAAATTGACATTGACATTTTGATATTTTTCTATGGATTACGTCTAGTTTTAGTTGAATCGAGATTTAGAAAATTTACTGCAAATGGGCCTTTGTAAAAGAGCTACATAAAATAAAAGTACAACATTGTATTTCTAAACAAACGCGCGACACATTGATACCCAGAAACCGTTTAAAGAAAGTTTTGGGGACTCTTTATTTCCAACGGTAAATGAAATAATAATAAAATCGAAAATGAATCTTAAATAATACAAAATCTTGAAACTTTTTTCAATTGCTATGCTCAATTATTCAAAACTTTGTAAATGTTGGTAAAAAACAGGCTATTCAACATAACAATCCGATTTATAAGTCAACAGACTCTGTATAAAAACAGTTCAAAGGCGAGTCAAAATCTCAAATGAAGGGTCTCGTATTATTGTACAAGTAACATCTGAATATTTTTTTTAAAAGAAAGAAAGAAGAAAAAAGTCGCGTGGATTTTGTTTAGTAATATTTTCTGTAAATTTCTTACGTTTTCACACAAGTTTGTTTGTTAAAGACAAGGAATTTTTTTTTGGTATTCATTAATAATGTTTCGAGTTGTTTTCATTTTGACGAGTCAATAATCAATAATCAAAATCATTTATTCAGTTTAGGCTGTTACAAGCACATATGAATGTCTAGAAGCTACGCCATCGGTTCGTAAATCTACGGCGGGAGACCTTGTACTGAGAAGAACCGGCAAGAAACTCAGCAAGGGCTGTTTTTTTCTCCCTGTTTTATCATTTACAGAGTCGTCAAGTTGAAAAATGACTTCAGAGATGATTCATGAAGTCACCTTTCATTACATAATGTGAAATTATACATTAATTGTACACCTGCATTTTGATTGCTGTGTCACACAGTATAAATACAATATAGTACTTCTTATAGTGTCTATTGAAATACATATACTGAGAGAATTTTAAAAGTTTACTATAACGGTTCTCGAATGGCGTCAGTGGGCAGGCCCCCACCAGGTGGACGACGTGAAGGTCGCGGGAGCCGATGGATGCGAATGGCGCAGAACCGATCAGTGTTAAGATACTTGGGGGAGGTCTATGCCCAGCGGTGGGCGTCGTACGGCTGAGATGATGATGATGACTATTACGTTTAATAAAACACACTTGGCTTAGGCTTAGCAATAAAAATTTGTTGTTACCTGCTTGCGAAACTATAAATAGTGCAAAATATAAATTCATTTTCATGAAATTACTGTAAATTTACAGTAGATAAATAATATTTCCTACTTTCTGACTACAGAATGGATAACTACGATGTAATAATTGGAGCACTGCTTTATAATTATACTGTCACATTCATATTTCTCTGTAATGACCTTATTGCATTGCATTGGTGAATTATTCTTGGGATTTTACAATATGGTCGAATTTATGATAATGCAAGTTGTTCAATAATTGCAGCTTTAATATAAATGATATTTATAACTTTGTCTATTATACTTTCAATACAGGATTTATACAGTACAACAAATGAGTACAATTAGTAACTTTAAGTAGATACTCTCACAAACGCTCTCAAAACAAAAACGCGAAAATATCAGAGACAGAATTTACCGGAACATCGTGGGTTTATTCTAATATGATATATTATATTCTAATGTGGTGCCTTATGCAGTAGGCCGTAAGAGAGAAACTGCATCGACATCTGTTTACAACAGCACTTGTTTACAACTTATGCGTGTTACCTACGTTGGTATAAGTAGGTACTACGCCCTCGCGGATGCTAGTTAACTCTCAATTTAACGGACTTTTCTAGAATGCGTCGATTGACGTATATAATTTCGAACCCCAACCCGACACGTAACAATACTTTCCTTTTTAAACAGTTAAAACGCTTTTAGCATTTGTACAAATAGAAGACAATTTATTTGTTAAAGTTCAGAGTAGCGTGAATTCGGGGATATTATGAGATACCGTAAGAACTTAAGTAAATTACAGGGAAACAAATTTAATTATAACTTTCCGGAAACGTGTTCAGCTGTGAATATTTTCAAAAGAACTCGGAACCGTCGATTTCTCTAAACGCATAATACGTAAAAAATATAAAAGAGGGGAAGCTCATAAGCTTATTAAGGATAGGACCCATCTCGGCATCCAAGCATTTCAAAGTACTTACGTCGAACTTAGAACAAAACTCAATATCAATGAAATGTCTCGATTGAAAGCGTGGGAGAAGTATTTTCCTCGGAAAAATAAATCACCTTACAAAGTTACCGTTATTTCTCCGCGCCATTGGAGGTATGTGCCAACTTTTATCGCGCACTGTTCAAATTAGTTCAGGGTTTATTCTTTTTTTTTCCGCGCCAAGTTTTGAAGTATGGATTTCAATATTGAATTTTTACTATGTCTCCGAGGCATGGCAACTTCGCCGTTCTAGAAAATTTAATACTGAACGTTTTCAAAGTTTACGAATTGACGCGTGGAATAATGATGAATCACGGAATTTGCTGAGAGTAACTTCGTATTGGAAGATTTATCTGGACTAGTTACTGTTTGAGATCATCCATTAATAATATGTCAAGACAATGAAAAAACTTGTTGCGTTAAAATTTTAAATGTATAAAGGAGATAATAAAACACAAATTTAATAAAAAGCTATGAGAGAAAAATACATTGAAAAATAATTATCTCACAATTATACACCAATATAAATATATATTTATAAATAGTGCGATTCAGATAAAAAACAAAAAAAATGGCAAAACAGACAAATCACAACGTGTGACTTGATTCAATAATATGTTGCAATTTGAGGAAGTACCTATGACATAATAATATTTTGTTCAAACGGAAATAGAGATCATACCGTCAGGGCCCCAACAAAGTCGTACCATGTCCATTTTTTTGTAACAGATAATTGGCTTAATACTGACTTATCTTTCTGAACTTAGAACTAGGACACAGTTCATATTTCTTTGGAGAGTGGTAGTCAGTCTCCGGCAGTGCCAAATTTTTATGACATGTAGTGCACGTAATTGTTAATTGTTTGACTAAAACTAGAATTTATCTATCCCCGTTTTTTAATGATTATTATGATTTAAAATGACATAGACGTTGAATGGTCATTGGCCAGTATTTATGTAATGTTTGTTGCCTAAGCATCAAATATATTCTATTTGGTTAGTCGACATCACAGGAGACCGAAGAGCTGGCAGCTACCTCGGACAAAGAATTAGTCTAGCCATTCAAAGCGGTAACGCTGCCAGAATCTTCGGATCCTTGTCTTGCCTTTTAATAATTTATTTTAGTTATTAATTTTATTTTTTAAGGTTTTTAGTTTTAGTTTTATTATTCCAGTATTTATATATAGAGTAATTATGTAATTAGATAAAGACTTATTTGTGTACTTATGATATTTTGAAAGTATAGTAAATAATGTAGATTCTATTTGTTTCGTAAGTTTTAACTAAGTACGTAAGTTTTCGCTCTCCACTCATTAAATGAAACGCGTAAACAGGTTTAAAATGTGTTTTTATTACTTTTTGAAGTAAAACTTCTTTACGCACGCTTGACTTTGGGGGGCAAAGCTGGCGAATGCGTTACGCGTTACGAAAAGGGTGTTCGGGCGAGGCGAACGGGAGGTGAGTGGGGTATATAAGCAAGGGAAAGCACGCGCACACTTTCTTTCTCTCTTTCTCTTATAGCTATAATAGTAAATGAAATATGTATATGTACATACATGTATCTAGACACGCGGCAGCGTGTTAAGCCAAGTTCAAGCAAAGGAACTGGCTAGCCATCGCCGAGTAATATTACACTAACCACTTGGTGCCACTTTTGACCCTTCTATAACTCAAAACCTCTTTAACGTAAACACATTAAACTACGTGTGTTTAATTATTTATATCTTGTACATACACACGCATATAAATATATATATTTACACATACAGATGGATATATATTATACACATACAGATGGAGCTAAAGAAGTTTCACTTCAGTCGTGTGGTCATAAGAACACTCGTTTTTTTGACGTTTTAGTTGTCAGAATTATGATTTATATTTACTTTTGACTTAGATGTGAAACATCAAAAGTAAAAAAAAGACGCTTTTTAATAAAAGACTTATAAGTTTCATTTAAATATTTTCTATTCAATAGGTTACTAAAGCAGTGAAAATGATTCCATTCATCTCGAATTACGTTATTAGGTATTTCGTAATCAATCAAAATATTGGTATAATAATTTCACCGATTTCACAAATATCGGGCTTGACTGGACTTATTGACATTTTACAGTGATTGAGTTGACGTTAATAAACTGCTACAGACTAAAAATATGACGTTACTTAAGACAGCACTCGTACGAAATTGTTCAATTTTCTCAAAAATTCGTTGATCTGTTTAGAGCATGATAAGGATACACGGTTGTCAAATATAATTTTAAGGGTGAGAGATTCATGCCAATTATAATCTTACAATATCAACTAATAGCTTGTGTCCTTTGACCAGGACATTGGCAGAATCAACAAGAATTAAAGAAAATTTACTAGAAAAAAAAAATCATTAGATTTAAACATCTAGCAGCTAAATGCTATAAATATAATAAACTACAATTGCTATTTCTTTTTTCAAATGTTTAATACTTGTAAAGGTATTAATTACGTTTGACATTTTGTGGGTTACCTACAATGCGACAGATGGCGCTACCTTGCAGCCTAAGAAATACTAGAAGAAATTCGACACGACCATTAGCGTCGTAATAGCATAATTGATAGTGCATCCGCCCGGATAGCGGAGGGTGCGGATTCGAGTCCCGTCAGCTATTGCAGTTTCTGCCTGTGAATTTTGTTCTAGTGAAATTTTACTTTAGATTTAAACATCTAGCAGTTAAATTAAAATGCTTAAAAATAAAAATAAAATAAACAACAATTTAATTGAATTGAAATAGCAAAAAAATATTAGTAGTTTATATTTCTCATCATAAAATTTGCATTAATAACAATCTTTAAATAGCTAATTACAATATGAATTGTAAAAGGTTTCTATATTTGAAAACAGTTCCTCCGGATATAATAAACGACGAGACATCCACGGACGTGTCAGCGCAGGAGTTGGACAACGTGACCCTGTCGTGTAAGGCGACCGGTCATCCGCCACCCAAAATCACGTGGAGGCGGGAAGACCACGAACAGATGCTGCTGAAGAAAATCGGCGGCAGGGACTTTTATAAAGGCAAGTTGAGAGCATTTTCCTACATAGAAGACCTAGGCAGATTATTCTACCTAACCTGGACATCCACGGACGCTTCAGCGTAGGAGTTGGACAGCTTGAAGCTATCATTTAAGATGACCGATCACAGCCGTCCAAGATCACGAACAGATCACGACAGTCAGGCGGGAAGATTACGAACAGATGCTGGTCAATAAATTCGGTGGCAGGGACTTTTATAGAGGTTAGTTGAGAGTATTTTCCTACATAGAAAACCCAAGCAGATTACTTTCGCCATTAGGGCATCCACTGATTTGGTGGCGCAGGATTTGGACAACGTGTCACTATCTTGTAAGGCGACCGGTCACCCGCTGCCTTAGATTACGTAGAGGCGGGAAGACCCCGAACAGATGCTGATCAAGGAAGACGGCGGCAGACATTTATAAACGTAAGTTCTCCAAGACCCGGGCACATTACTCCTCTCCATCTGAACATCCACGGATGTTTCGGCGCAGGAGTTGGACAATGTAACGCTGTCTTAAAGTCGTCGGCAGGGACTTTTATGAATGCAAGTTGAGAACCTTTTTATGTAGAAAACCGAGGCAGAACACTTATTTCTTATTACACTAAGCTACGTGGGTAGCTCGCACCATCCCGTCGGCAAAATCATACTTACTTAACATTCTGAGAGCTTTGATCAGTTACTTATCCTACTTTGAACTAAAACTTCCTTTTGGAGTTGCTGTGTTTTCTGTCGGCGAGTAAGGTTCCAGGGCTCCATGGAGTAGGAGGTTGCGTCAGGGTGGGTAACAGCGCGAGTGGTATTTTTTTTTATCGCAAGGCGATGGTGGCCGCTTACCATCAGGCGGGCCATATGCTTGCTTGCCACTCTTTTAACGTAAAAAAACGACCGGTTGCACTCCGGGAGTGCCGGCAGAAGTGAAAACTTGAATATTAACGTTGTGCATTTTTAATAATTTGGAATGGTTAGGGAATAATTTCACACGAATTGCTTTAATTATCAGTATAAAAGTACTATCATGTATGTGGTAGAATACAATATTTATTTATTGCGCTATCGTGACTATTTATATTACATTAAAAAAGTTTATCTCTCAAAAAAATCAACTTACATGAATCACATTAAAGCACACCTAGCGACATCTATTGTAAAAAAATGCATTGTTTTCGCAATAAAGCTGCCACGTGGACGTCCTAGATAGGGACTTATTATTATAATACGGTAAAATAAAATATTACTGTTTCGTCCAATATATTGAAAGTCAACAACCTTTCCCACGTCTTTAACCTGACGCGAGTTTAACATTTTTACCCATACAAAAAAAAGTGTACAACGCCGCTAAAGAAGTTTTCACTTCAAAAATACTTTCCACCGCCAATAATATATATTGAGAGTTACTTAAATTCTTCCTTATTTCCTATAGTGGAGAGCTACGTCGGCAGCTCGTTACCGCTGTGGCGCGTGGACCGGCGGCAGATGGGAGCGTTCCTCTGCATCGCGTCCAACGACGTCCCGCCTGCTGTCAGCAAGCGGATCATACTCAATGTCAACTGTGAGTATCCACTGTGGTTATGATGATGTACTTCTGAGAATATTTATCTATAGCCATCAAAGCTATTAAATAGGTACCCTGGATACACCACGAGCGCTCAAACTTTGTCCCAATCAAGAAGTACTTGAACTCTATTCAAGCACTTCTTGGTTCACAGTCACGCGCTGAAACGGCGGTTTTTTCGACAGGTATCTAATCAATGTTTGTTAATTTAACACATTTGAAGCAAATTTTGTTCTCATACTTACTGTGAACTGATCAAATATATATATATATATATACATATATATATACATAGTGATCTATCAACGCGCAGCCCAAACCACTGGACGGATCGGGCTGAAATTAGGCATGCAGGTAGATGTTATGATGTAGGCTTCCGCTAAGAAAGGATTTTGATCAATTCTACCCCCAAGGGGATAAAATAGGAAATAAAAGTTTGTCAATTTTAAACCGATTTGCATGCAGGTATAAGAAGAATCATAGCTGAATGTCATTGTGTATAATACAAGCCTGAGTACAAAAACTGTAGTCTACATTTCAGCTCTACACCGAAGCGAAGCGAGGGCAGGCCGCTAGTATAAAATATTTGTAACATTCGAATGCATGGTCGGTTATACGTCGCCGTATAGCCGTTTCTTTTCCTTCTCTCAAATTACATAGTAAATGTAATTACATAATATACGTCGTGTAATTAAAAAATCGAACGATATTTACAGACATAAATCTTAAGATTAATTAGTAAATTGAGTAATTCAAGGCATTACTTTTAACTGAAGGTGTAATAAGACTTATAAGGTCAGCATTCAATCCTCGCATTTCAGATTTCGTATAAATGTGTTTCTGCTAATTCGTCTTCCTTAAATATACACACATGACAGCTTTTCCCGCCTTGATTATATAAACCAAAATCGAATAAACTAAGCACCTTTCACCTTTGACAGCAATACAATTAGACGATTACTACCTTTACCTTCCTAAGTCTACCCAGTGCCATGGTTCAAGGCATAAGATAGTACCTGGTGCTATATTAACATAAGACTAGCAAACCAGTGAACCAAATGTTCACAAAAAAAAAATGTATTTAATTAATTGAGAACTTCGGAGATTTTGTGTGGTTTCGTTTGAAATAGAAATCACGTGATTTCTCGAAAACCGGAAGTGCTACGTTACTCACATCCGGTTTGTAGTCTTATCAGACTATTCTCAACTTATAACTTAAACATTCTCTTTATCTATCTCTTACGGTTTGGCCGCTGAAACAGCACCACGGACTGACGGACGGACTTGTCTAATAGATAAGAGATACTTAAACATAAAATGGGGTGGAATCAGTTGCCTACCAAATCATAATACTTTTATTTTATAGGTAAAACTCTTTAGCATTGTTTAATGTCAAACTGATATTTTTATATACATAGTAAGTGACTATTCTAAAAGTAATCTTTTGATGCATGCGATTGCGACATCGGAAAAATACATCGTATATACGATTTAAAGTTTCCTAATAATATAAGTCGTTTCCTACGCAAAACTTTTATAACTCCGTTATAGGTTAGTAATCATTTTTTTTTATAAAGTACTTAGTTGTTCGATTTTTTTTTATTTGATTTAAGTAAGTGATGTAAAATGTTATTGGTATTTGTCATGATTGAAATAACGTATGTAAGATTAGGTATATAATAATTCAATAGTATAGTAGCTGTCCAATCCGACATTATTGGTTTGATTTTCGATAAGGAAATTTATTTGAGAAAAGTACTTAACAAGCCTTGGCCACAACTAGTCATTGGTGTATTTTGTATCTCATTTAAGCCACGAAAGTATCAAAGAAAAAGCAGTAGTTTTTGTTACCTACCTCGTCTGATAACGTTATGACCTTATGTGTCTCATTTGAACAATGCACGCCTTTTCTATATTGCTTTTATTCCGCTTTACTTTTTGCACCCACCCCCGAACTCGTGATAAAGCTAAATTGATCTTCCTCTTGTAAGCCGCCCTTGCGAATAATTGACTCTTCCCTGTCATTGCCTCCCAGATCCCTATAGATGATAAAGATAACTCATATACTAAGAATACTTTAGTGGTTACCGAGATAGCAAGGGAATACGCATAAAGGATCCCTTGTTTACGATTATGGAAGTTTATAAAGTGCCTTTAGAGGATTTTTACCGTCCAGGTGAATCTTCAGTGAAAATGAATTCCGATAATATTTTATGCGGTCTATTGAAGGAGGTAACGATTTCATTTTATGTTGAGGTCTAATAAATTAAACCTACCATTTTTTTTAAATTATAAAGAAGATAAATAAACTAGAAGAGAGATATTAATTCCAAATGATACATTGAATTGTAGTAATTCAATTTAAAATTTTAATTTGTAAAGTATTCTTGAATGCTGCAGAAACATTTAGTAACATGCCATTGACATAACAGAGAGATAATTATTTGTAATATTTAAAGTTAAACAAAATAAATATTTCCAACACTCACACCAATTAGCCTAGCCCCAAAGTAGTAAGTATTATGGGATACTGGGCGGGATGTGGGGGAGGAGGAGTCCCACATAACCCTCATAAGTCCTCACCCAGGGGCGGGTATGCGTCACGCATTTGTTCATTCGTACCTACTGTACTTAAATAAGTATAATCTCTAAAATTTATTAAACAAAAAAAGTCAGATTGATGAAATGCCTTGTGTTTCCAATCTTTCTTTATGGAGCCGAAACTTGATCTTTGAGACTGCAGGATCGCCGTAAAATCGATGCATTGGAGATGTGGTGTTGGAGACGCCTCCTAAAGAATCCGTGAACGGCATTTCGTACCAATGTATCCATCCTCAAAGAGCTTCGTGTTAAAGACAGACTCTTGTCAACTGTGCAACTACGAATACTGAAGTTCTTTGGTCACATCTCTAGAAATGGGAATTCAATGGAAAGGGTGGTTCAAGGCCAGCTGGAAGGCAAGAGAGCACGCGGTCGATTACCAACCCGCTGGATAGACGCCATCACAAAGGCTACTGAGTCCACCATGGTCCAGTGTACTCGCGACGCCCCGAACCGTCATAAATGGAAGCACATCGCCAGGAGAGCTACCCTCGGAATTGATAGCAACCCAAAGAACACCCCACCATGTACCTCGTCAGTGCAACCACAACCACTCTGACAAGTGTGCCCGACTAAGAAGAATTTATTAAACATTTTTAATGCACATGGTAAAGGAATTATTAGATACAACTGTTTATAATGTTAGTTTGTTTTTAAATAGAACGAAGATTAGGTTGAGACATTTGGCTTGTTTGTGAAAATCAAATTTCGTTTTGATAAACAAACAAACGAATGTCGTAAATATATAAACAAGGAAACGTTAGTATTCTATACTCTCTGAAACATGGTCAACATGAATCAATCTGTCGCAATCCAAATATGGCTCAAATACATTTCCTTATCTTGAAATCCTTTATCTCAAAATCAATACGCTAATATTTGACATTTAGGTAACAATCAATATCAATATTTTGCTCTAAGCAACTTTATCAACATATTATTATTATCTACTAGCTAGCTTTTGGCAGTTGGCTTCGCGTTATTTTTTCTAGTAATAATTCCTTTACATTTAAATATCGAGCAGTTACATGCTTAAATAAATATATTCTTAGTATCAAAATTATTGCAGAAAATAAGTAAGGTTTTGATTTTTGTTTTCGACATTTAAAGTGTACTGCTGGCAGAATATATCTGGCAGTATTAATTTAAAAATGTTTACAATCTTCGCTACGTATGTAAAACCTCGATGACACTTGGCGACTTTAAAAGCTACAAGCCAGCAAGTTCGCTAGCAGCTTGTAAACTTGCCCCGTGTCATCGGCTTTTTAACCATCTGCTTCTCGATGATATGGGGCGAGTTTTACAAGTTACTAGCGCACTCGCTGGCTTGTAGCTTGTAAACTCGCCCCGTGTCATTGAGGCTTAAAGTGACTTAAAAAATTTACGTACCTGTGCCACGAGACATACCTGAAAATTCACCCACAGCACAAGTTAGCGAGTATGTAAACGTTATAATTTTTATTATTTTTAAAGCATGTAACTGCTTGATGTTTAAATCTAAAGAAAATATAACTAGAAAAAATTCCACGCGGACCAGTTATATTTTCTTTAGATTTAAACATCAAGCAGTTACATGCTTTAAAAATAATAAAAATTATAACTATAATTGCTATTTCTTCTTTCAAATGTTTAATACTTGTAAAAGTATTCATTTGACATTGTGGGTTTACCTATAATGCGAAGAGATGGCGCAGCCTTGCAGCTTAAGAATAGCTAGAAAGAATTTCGACGCGGTCCGTGAGGGCCGCGGTAGCATAATTGGTCAGTGCATTCGCCCGGATTTCGAAGGGTGCGGGTTCGAGTATGTAAACGTTCATGGTACACACTAATACTACCGAATATCCATATTATATTCATGAGAAAATAGTTAAGGTAAGACGGTCTTGGTATCTTACTTTATAATAAACAATATTCTTTATTACTCTAAATTTATTTCGAAATTTACATATAATATGTTCTTTTGTGAAGTTTCGAACAAAAGTCTAACTTATCTTTTTTCTCCATACAAACTTTGTAACCCGTCTAATCCCTATAGGAGGAGAATTTTGATTAAAAAATATCAGCAGATACTTACGTCACAAGATATTCGCGCCAAATTCAAACTCAATCCATTCAATGGTCTGAGCTATGTATTGATGAATCAGTCAATCAGTAACGCTTGCCTATATACACGATTCAGTAGTTTCCCGGGATTCCAGAATCAATTATACGCAAACAAAAGAAACTCAAACGTAGCTCAGCCAAGAGTGTGGAGTGAATTTCATGGCCCATCGAACCCTGGGTATTGAGCCTCGCCTCTGGGATCAATCCCAGTTTATCAGGACATTGGCTTTAGCATTCTAACCGCGGCGCAAATCTTACCAATATCTGCCAATTCAGTTAGAAATCCTTCCGAACGTTCGCACCGAATGTTCTAATTTAATGCATCGCATCGTTTTTTGATCGTTTTTCCATGATTGTGATCTGTTGATTTGGATGGAACTGGGGTTTTTCCCCACAATAACTGTTATTGGGCAGGCAATGTTGGAGCAGTCACCCGTATTCCTACTGCTAATGAAATTGAATGAATCGAGAAAATATCTTTAATAGATATATATTTGGATTGGAAGCTTTACCCATTATGAAGATTGGGTTTAAATTTGGCAATTAATTATAGATATTGACTTTAAAAAAGTTTTGAATTATATTAAAGTAATTATTTGGATATTAAATTTTGAGTGATATTTCATGCAGACGCTTGAATTTAACTTAGTGAAATCGTTGTAAGTAGGTATAAGAAAATAATATTAGCGTCTAGACGATGCGATGTTTTGATAACTTCTTTTTCAAGAAATAATGTTTATTAAAATAACTTTGATGTTATATAGAGCGTAAAATGTTTTAAATAATCCTTTGACTTTTGGATAGTGAAATAAACAAAATCTTGGCTTCATATAAATGTCTTACACAAGCATTTGAATTTGGTAATGAGCCCCTTGACAGAAAAACTGAGTTTTTTCTTTTTATCTCTGCTGTTTAGAATTTTTTATTTACTTCTATTTTTTGTTATCTATTTTAATCAAACCTTTGTTGTGTCTGAGTTTCTCTCTGATTAGATCTCTCTGGGATACCAGCAGCCTTGCGGTAACAAATACATGCCTAACTTTATACTGCAGCTAGGACTGAATTGGCGCTGTACTTTCTCTTTGCTTTGTAATAAATCTATTCAATAATGAGAACCGAACCGGCTGCAATCGTTGAAGTTAAGCAACTTTCGCAGTAGTCGTTCATTGGATGGGTGACCAAAAATTTACTATCGCGCGCTCCTCCGTGTTTCAGAAGGCACATGAAGCCGTTGGTCCCACCTGCATCTGCAGTCGATAGCACCTACCAATCCGCACTGGGCCCATTGGTGGGTCATAGCCGAAACTCCCTATTCCATCCATAGGGAAGGCCTGGGCCCCAGCAGTGGGAACATTAATAGCCTATTAATGTGGGATGATAATGAATAAGGTCATCGTCATTAAAAATGTTTTACTATTAAATCATTGTAAATACTTTCTCCACTAACACATCTTCTACAATTAAGCGAAATCCTACTTTTATTGATGTTACCTATATTTAAAATAATTAAAATTTTATTCATGCCAAAAAAACATATAAAGTACAAAAATTTTACAGCTGTTAAATTTATGAGACAAAGTACTGGAATTTATTTTTTAGTATAAAATTTTACATATTTTTTTTTTATTTTTTTAAGTCATATAATGAAAAAGTACAACTGACCCTAGATAGGCTATAAATATAGCCTGTGTTAAGGGATTCAGACCCTTCCAATAGGTTCCTTAAGATGACACAGACACACAAGATGACAAAATAATAAACAGTTTCATTTTGTATTGCCGTGCGGCGTGCTAGCTTAGAGTACCTCTTGTCGTCGTATTGGTGTTGTGATAACTAAAGGTGGAAAGGAAGTCACAACAAGAAACCACGATACAAGTGAAAGTTTTAAAAAGTTGTATCTATTTCAATAATCTTGCTATCGTCTGTTTTATTCACCGGTCTGCCTGCCAAGTTTAATAAAAATGGTGAATCGCCGACTTTGGCTAAAATGTAGAATGTAGGGGGATAAAATAGCAACATTTGTATGTTAATCTAAAATAAAATTTAATTCAAAAAATCTACAAATGACATTTCATTATTGGAAGAAAAATGTTAAATTTACTCCAAAAAATATGATTAAAATTTGAATTTTTAACATATGAGATTTGAGGGTAATCCTGTTAAAAGTGAGTTGATGGCCGAGTGGTTTATATGCCGGGTTTCATGGTGACGCCGACCCGAGAGGTCCCGGGTTCTTATCCCGATGGGGGCAGCTGTTTGTGTGATAAATACGAGCATTTGTACTCCAGTGGATGTTTAATATGTATTTCTTTATAAATGTACTTGTATTTCTTATAATATGTATTTCTTTTCACAGTTCCTCCAACAGTCATAGTGCCAAATCAGCTTCTTGGGGCTCCACTGGGGACAGATGTGGTGCTCGAGTGTACAGTCGAGGCATATCCTAATACTATCAACTATTGGCTTAAAAACAGAGGTGAAATGCTGTTAGATGGGTGAGTAGCGAGTAGTAAAGAAAGAAATATATAAAGTGTATCTAATATACTTAACACAGTTGTGTGTCAGATTTTTATAGTGGAGAATTGCAAATGCGTACACATGCATTGGTGTCGATTCTGGCGTGATTCTCTAAACTTAAAACAGAATTTAACATCAATCTCTCCTTTTCATTCCGTATAGAGAATGACAAGGATACACTGTTGTCAAATTTAAGTTTAGGTTTAGAGAATCGTGTCAGATTGACACCATTGTCTAGACAAATGTCTATTAGATACATACAAGACTATAATGTCAGATCTATTTCAATTATTATGAACCAAGTTTTAAATAAGTTAGGGCTGTATTTTAGAATGAGTAAGTAGCTTTGTTAAGAAGCTCGATGATGACGATGACGTTAGCGCGTTCGGCTGCGATTGTTGAAGTAAAGCAACTTTCGCAGTGGTCGGTCATTGGATGGATGACCAAAAACTTCTATCTCGAGTTCATCCGTGCTTCGGAAGGCACGTTAAGTCGTTGGTCTCGGCTGCATCTGCAGTCGTTAGCACCCGCCAATCCGCACTGGGCTCGCGTGTTGGGGCATGGCCCAATCTCCCTATTCCATCCATAGGGAAAGCCTGTGCCCCAGCAGTGGGACATTAATAGGCTGATGACTAAGTAGCTTTGTAAAAAAGTTGAAATACACATTTGGAACATAAAAGAAGGGAGGTAGGTTCTGTAGTTGGTGAATAAAAAGATATAAATTCTGTACAATTCACCACAATTTATTATTCAGCTCTATATTAAGAAACGTTTGCAATACAATATAAATTACTGAATGTCAGAAGTTAAGCTACTAAATTCTTTCACTCTCTAATTCTGAAAGTGATATCCAAAACATTGTAAGCAACGAGTTTATAATACTGCGTATACTTATTGGTTTTGTTATCGTTATATCTAATTTTTGTGCAATTTTTAGGCCAAAATACACCATTACAGAAGAAAGGTCGTCATATAAGGATCTAATGAAGCTGACCATTAGGCAGTTTTCCAAAACTGACATCGGAACGTACAACTGTGTCAGCACTAATTCCCTCGGGAAAAGCGAGGGGACACTCAGACTTTATGGTGAGTTTTTTGTATTATAAAACGGGTACCTAATAGGCTGTGTTTTTTGCTTGTGAAATTTAAATTTATTATATATATATTTAGGGGTCGCTCAACAACCGATGCCGGTGTTGAGCTTGTACAGCAAATTTTTGATGCCTGGGAGAACTCGCAAGATGCATTAGGTGTATTTTGTGACTTATCAAAGGCTTTTGATTGCGTTTTTCATGAAACATTGATCAGGAAACTTCACCACTATGGATTTAGAGATACCACTCTGGATCTTATTGTATCTTATTTGAGTGATAGGGTTCAGAGGGTTGACATCAATGGAGTAAAATCTCCTGGTTCGTCGGTTAAGATGGGAGTTCCGCAGGGCTCAATCCTTGGTCCTTTCTTATTTTTAATTTATATCAATGACTTGCCCTATTTTGTAAAGGATAACCACGAAATAGTATTGTTTGCGGATGACACTTCACTTTTGTTTAAAATTAAATGTAGGGAGTCACAAATTGATGACGTGAACAGGTCTATTTCGAAGGTAGTCCACTGGTTCAATGTTAATAATTTGATGCTAAATGAAGGGAAAACTAAGTGTTTGAAATTTATATTACCTAATGTGAAACAGGTAAAAACTAATGTAAATATAAAGGATCGACATATGAGCTCTGTAGATACCACAGTGTTCTTAGGAATCACACTAGATTCTAAGCTGCAGTGGGGCCCACATATTGATGGATTGTCGAAGAGACTTAGTTCTGCAGCATATGCTGTAATGAAAATACGGCAGTTAACGGATATAGAAACTGCCAGATTACTCTACTTTAGTTATTTTCATAGTGTAATGTCTTACGGTATTTTACTGTGGGGAAATGCCGCCGACATTCAAACTATATTTGTGCTGCAGAAGAGGGCTATTCGATCAATTTATAATCTTAAAGTTAAGGATTCATTAAGAGATAAGTTTAAAGAAATAGGTATATTGACAGTTGCATCACAATACATATATGACAACTTAGTATTTGTAAAAAAAAATATTAATTTGTTTACTAAAAATAGTGAAATACATACATAATTATAATACTAGAAATAAAAATAACTTAACTTTACCTGCTACTAGGCTCCACAAAATCAATAATTCGTTTAGAGATCTTAGTGTTCGCTTTTACAATAAAGTTCCAAGCAATATTCAAGAGTTAAGCATGACTAAATTTAAATCGACCATTAAAAAATCACTAGTTAAGAAAGCATATTATAAAGTGTCTGATTATATTACAGACAAAAATGCTTGGATGTGAACTGTTCCAACCATTCCGACGGGTATTTCTATATGATTTATGTGTTGACAATACTATTTATGTGTTGACAATACTATAATTAAACTGAAAGCTGTATATAAAGTTAATAACTTAAGTAAGATTATCAGACTGTTTAAGAATATTTGATTGACAAAACGGCGTGGTCGTGATTTCTCCTTTGCTTTGTTTTGTAATTGTTTGTTGTGTCTTACAGGTAAATGACCTTAATTTAAGTAAATATGTTGTAGTTAGTATGGGTAGTTATGGGTAGTCATGCTCTCATAATAGTCTCTTCGGCGGTGTCGTGTGAGGCGGGTCGTTACGTTCCCTAAAATATGGTTGAGCGAAGCGATGGCTGGTTCATGCGTCATGCTCGTGAACGGGTGCTGCCAGCGGAGATGAGTCTGCCCTAACTTCCTTAATATTGAAGTTAAGGTTTAGTCACACTGAATATAAATAACACTATTTGTATTTATACTGTATGACACAGCAATCAAAATGCAGGTAAACAATTAATGTATATTTAATAATTATGTAATGAAAAGTGACTTCATGAATCACCTCTGAAGTCATTTTTCAATTTGACGACTCTGTAAATAATAAAACAGGGAGAAAAAAACAGCCCTTGCTGAGTTTCTTGCCGGTTCTTCTCAGTACAAGGTCTCCCGCCGTAGATTTACGAACCGATGGCGTAGCTTCTAGACATTCATATGTGCTTGTAACAGCCTAAACTGAATAAATGATTTTGATTATGATTATGATTAAAGTGTCTCGTAATTAATATTGCCTATAGAAGATGTCTGGCAGTATTCACTTCAAATTGTTTACAATATTCTTTACAACATCCGTAGGAATAAGTCCTTAGACTGTTGGTAAAGTGAGTAATTTTTTTACGCGTGTGTGTGTGTTATTTGGTATACACTAATACTTCTACGATGTTTATATTTATTGTATACAATGATACTGCTATAACTATCCATATTGTGTCCATCATAAAATGAGTAAGGTCTGGCGGGCCTGGGATCTTGGCCTATAATAGTTTAATGAATTACAATATATTTTCTTTTGTGATTTTTAGAAAAGTGAAATCATTTAGATTGCGACTAAAAATAGCACAGTAGCGTTAAGTCTCTGTACTCTGTCTAATCAATAAACACCGTGATTTTTGACACGATTTTTTACCCGAGAAACTTAAAAATCATGAAAATAGGAATGGTGAGAACAGTTGAAAACAGTAAATGTACTATAGTCCTATACAAAAATATTTCGTTCATAAAAATATCCTAAAATAGCGCAAATTTGTAAATTATATACTTAGTAAGGTATTATTATCCGTCTAAAGTACATAGATCCAAGAAGTAGATTTATTTTAATCAATTTATGACAATTAAATTATTAAAGTTTCATATTTTCACAATTAGAGAGTTAACGTAAAGAAAAAAAATACAGAAACATTGTTTTTTTAACAAATATCACTAAATCGTTGTCTGAATTAGCGAGTAAAATTTCTCAGGTAACTCAAAATTCTCGGTGTATAAATACTTATAAATACCTAGATTGTAAATTATGCACGCTTATAATTTACAATTATGCTGATAATTTACAATTAGTTATTTATTGACGAGATTTTTATGAGAGTTTCTAACAACCGGGCCCGCGTTAAATTTAAGTAATTTAACTTATCTAAGAATAACAATATTATTTAATATTAATCTTATTAAACGCAAATTGAACCCAGCATAAGTTCAATTTACTCATTCTCTTCAATGTAACATACTTCATTGTAATTAGTATGTAGTAACAATATTTAATAGTGATAACAGCTGTTGATTTTGTTGATAAGGTCATCGGTATCTCGGGATCTGAACAGATATGTTTCCACAGCTTCATACTTAAAATCGGAAACTTCATCTGTCATCATCATCAGCCTATTAATGTCCCCAGTGCGGGGGCACATGCCTTCCCTATGGATGGAATAGGGAGATTAGGCCATGACCCACCACGCGGGCCCAGTGCGGATTGGCGGGTGCTAACGACTGCAAATGCAGCCGGACCAATGGCTTAACGTGCCTTCCAAAGCACGGAGGAGCTCGAGATAGTAAATTTTTGGTCACCCATCCAATGACCGACCACTGCGAAAGGTGCTTAACTTCAACGATCGCAGCCGAACGCGCTAACCACTTGCGCCATCGAGCTCCTCATCCTCCTTCATCTGTCATATTCAATGAAATCTGTTAAAATTTCAATTACGGTGTGTTAACGGCCAATAACGGGTTGCTGTATTGTGATTTTGTACCAAGAAAAAGTTAAATATTCCATATTATAATATACTGATTACTTTTATTTTTTGTTCCTAACGCAACGTTTCATAATTTCAACTTTTAACAAAACATAAGGACAGCTTACTGTTGACATAAATGATGCACTTTCAACGTAATGTGCCCAGCACACCGAACAAGTAGCATAAAAAATATGAGGAGAAGGGCTCTTCTTCAGGAGCTCGATGGCGCAAGTGGTTAGCGCAATCAGCATGCGATCGTGCAAGTTAAGCAACCTACGCAATGGTCGGTAATTGGATGGGTGACCAGAAACTTTAAATAAATAAATTACTTAAATATAACTTAAACCTTAAAATCTCGAACTCCCCCGTGCTTCGGAAGGCACGTTAAGTTGAGGGTCCCAGCCGCATCTGCAGTCGTCAGCACCCACCAATCCGCACTGGGCGCGCGTGGTGCGTCACAGCGGTCCAGTCTTCCCATTCAATTCACAGCAAAGGCCTGTGCACCTGCAGTGGGCACATTAGTAGGATGGAAGAAAGTCATCATTATCGATGACTTTTTTTGTGGAGTTCGAACTAAAATCCTAACAAAATCGACGACCTCCGTGGCCGAGTGGTTTGTACGCCTGGTTTCATGGTGTCGCCGACTTGAGAGGTCCCGGGTTCAAATTCCGGTGGGGGCAGATGTTTGTGTGATGAACACGAGCTTTACTACTTCAATCATGGATGTTTAATATGTATTTCTATATAAATATAATGTATATGTATTCTATCCGTTACCCTAGCATCCCATAACACAAGCCTTACAGTGCTTTCTTTGGGATAGGCTAATTGGTGTGTGTTGGAAATATTTATTATTTATTTAAAATTTATATAAATCACTGAAAATTACAGTTTTTAATCGTTTACAGAAATCAAGCTGTACCCGAGTTCGCAGTCGGCCGCAGAAGTGAATATAGGCGGTGAGTAATTAAGATCGCACCCCTCGAAATTACGCATAAACTCAATTACGAATGCGGCCCAATACAACCATCAAATCAACTAACTATCCCACTATATGGTGTGGAACGCTTAGTGGAATAGTTTCTGTTCGTGACCATAGACTTAAAATTGAGATAGAAGAAAACAGGCGTACTTACTATCAATCTTTCAATATATAAAATACTATTTATAAATAATGATTTTATATTTACACTAGCTGACCCAGCGAACTTCGTACCGCCATAAAAAATAGGGGTTGGTGGTAGAAGGGTGAAACTTTAGGGTTGTATGTATTTTTGTATGATGTAACATAAAAAAAAAATCTAAAATAAAAAAAAAAATAGGGGTGGATTACCCTTAACATTTAGGAGAATGAAAAATAGATTACATCCGATTCTCAGACCTACTGAATATGCATATAAAATTTCACGAAAATCGGTCGAGCCGTTTCGGAGGAGTTTAACCACAAACACCGCGACACGAGAATTTTATATATTAGATTAAAACGTTAAACTAATAAAAGCTTAAAACTAATTAATTTTCCAATGTCTGTCCATCTTATTAATAAATTAAGTCATTTGAAATTAGTATGTAATTCGGAAGCAATAAAGGTGTTAATGTGTATAAACAGATATCCATCGTTAATAGATCTGTGTTTCCTTCGGATTGTTACAGCCACCATATTATTGAAGATTCTGAATGCAACTATGTAAATTTTACTATATTTTTTATTGCAAACTTTTATTTTTTCATTTTAATGAAATGATCATAATATTTGAGAGTCAATTGATATGAGTTTTAAAAAGTATTGAAAATCTGTAATTTTTTTATTTAAATTAAAAATACATAATAATTATTTCAATGTAAAATAATGTTAACCAATTTTTGAAAATTATGTAAAGCAACCAATCACTTATCGGATGCATGTTTTGACCATATAAAATGTCTGCTTCCTAAAAACTTCACAAAAAAATATGTTTACACTTATTATTTAAGTCTATGGTATACTTATATTGCTGTTGTGATGACGCGTTCAAAATTTATTCCTTTATGTAAAGTAGCATTAGAAGTTAGCGGGGTGGAATTGTATGTATTTTGTAGATTTTCCTAACAAAAGTGTAAACAATTGAGTCATGCTCATAATTGAACAATTCATTCAATTTAGTTAATATTCATTATTTATTTCTTATCAAGGATTTTTAATATGCTTTATGAGATATTATATATTTTTTATGTTAATAATATTTCAGAAATATACATGTACATTTTATGTAGTTCAAACAAATTAATTCGGTTTATTTGTAGATATATAAATGCTATTAGTGAAATTTTTAATGGGTATTTTCTATATTTCGGCCGTGCTTGAAAGTTTGAGTTTAACTATATCTATCGACACATATTGAGATATAAACTGTTATAATATATCATTATTCGTAAATAAAGAATGAACTGAAGAAATCAACATATCGACCGATACGACCTTGATTAATTAATATATACAGCGTGTTTAATCCCGTGCCCTGTAGGCAAACAACGTTCTAAACAAAATTATTATAATCTATTTAAAATTCATCCGAACTTTGAATGAGTTCGCTTTGGATCTCTTTTGCGTGGGGCGGTTGTTTCCGGTTTGATTATAATGTTATTCTATAATGATTTCAAACTCTGCTTCAGAAAGGCCGCTTCTTTATTAAAACATTAAACTGTATTATTAAAACATTAATTGCTTCGAAAAATCATTAACTGAATATTAGGTAGGCATATCTTTATCAAACATTTTTTTTTCAATATTAAACATCATTTCATAACAAGAAAATGTTAACCTTAAAATATAAAACTTTCGATTCCTTCTCTGAGGATAGTGTCACTCAAATAACATAAAATAAAAATATAGTTATGCCGTATATATTGATTTAATTTAATTTAATATATCATTATGAAAATATTTGTTTCAGGTCTAACTGAGGGTGCAGTGAAACAAAAATCAGCTTACAGCAAATCAAACAAACCAATTCCAATATTAGCTTTAATCGAATGGCTTATTATAACAGTGTTAAATCTGCGATGAAATTCTTTATATTAAGTGTAACGCAAATAGTTTTTGTCAATAGGGGTGGTATTATATAGTTTCAATATAAACACTGGAAAATTACCATAGCTTTGAGATGTTTCTGAAGTACTAAATATTATAATAAATACCTGCGTTACACAATGTAACTACTGGGAAAACAATGTTCTTTCACTGGAATCCAACCAATTGAAATCTAGGATTGTTAAAATATCTAAGTAATGTTAAAATATTCTCAATGTGCGTCATACACAAACACACAAACATTTTAAGTATCTCACATATAGATAATAAAAGGGAAAGGTGTATCAATCGGCCATTCTATAAAAACTAAATGGTAGGTGTGTGCGTAAAGCAAGCGTGGTAACTATACCACGCTTGCTTTACGCACACACCTCCCATCGATGACTACATCGAATCATATCGCTGCTAAAACACTGCGACTGTTTTTTCTATTCTTTGCCGCATTACTCTTTAACAAAATACTCACAGTTGATTTGAATCAGTTTACTTAAACAAATACAAATACACTAAAACTATGCCACGATTTTTTTATAGCAACCGCAACATCATCAATGAGGTGAAATCTTACTTGTAGCGCAGCGTTAATATCTACGCAGACTCGCCATCGAGCTCAACGTTGAATTATACGTTGAAATATAACGTACCTATCTGATAGTAGTAAGGCATAATTGTTTTCACTGCCATACGAACATCATTCTGTATATTTCCTTTTGCTAAGCTATAAATTAACGAGAGTGTCAGAAAAATGTATATTATATCGTGAGTACTAATAATACTCAAACTTAATTTATCGAAAACAAGACTGTACATAAGTATTTGTAAATACATATAAAAATAGATTACAAAATAGTTCATTGTATAAACTTCAAATAGTGTAGGCTTTTAAAGTATTCAGCGAAGTTGCTCAATATTTTTAAAATGTAAGAAAATAGATAAACGATTTAATTCTATAATTGTTAACTAACGATCATTATGAAATGTTATGTAGATGGAATGTTTAAAGTTCTTCAAAGTCCTTGTAATGAGTACTGAAAATAATTTTGTTAATAAAACTGTACTTTTTTGTTGGAAGAGTCGAAATTGAAAGATTTTTGAGATAAATGAACTTTAAAAAAAAAAACTGATGTAAGTTGTCTCTTAAACACATGCCCCACCAGTGATGATCAGCCAGAAGTAAACATGACGAATTATTATGAAGCTGGAACTGGATGTCGCTCGATATTTCAACGCCAAGAATACCGATACTAGCTGCCGAGGCAGTAAGGGGAGTCTTCTAAAAAGGGGTGATACGACGAATGGATTTTTTTAACCGTAAACGCGCATACTCGTATCTTCGTTGGATTATATTGGACTTGATGAAATTGTTCCTAATTTGATACTTTGCTGATCAGTCTCAACTTCCAACACAAGTTTGTTCCAAATCTCAATGGCGTTTTCCCGTAAATTAATTGCACGGTCGGTATATAAATCACCTGTGCTGTCATCTGCATAGCAATGGATGCCATCAATTCAAATCAAATCATTGATTTGCAGAAGAAACAGCGTAGGCGATAGCACACAACTTTGTGGGACACCTGCGTTTACAGATTTGGAGTCCGAGCTTGCACCGTCAACTACGACCTTGATACTCCTAACCGCAAGAAAGTTTGTGACAAAAATGCACAGTTTTTCGGAAAGCCTATAAGAAGGAAGCTTGGAAAGAAGCGCTTTTTGCCAGACCCGATCAAAGGCCTTTGCGATATCCAGACTGACCGCTAATGCTTCTCCCTGGGTCTCAATCGCCTTTGCTCAACGATGCGTCAAATATATTAGAAGATTACAGGGCGAACGCCTTTTACGAAAACCGTACTGGTGGACGCTAATCAGCTGGTAGTCCTCCAGGTACCGAATGAGCTGGCAGTTGATAATGGATTCCATTATCTTTGAGAACAAGGATGTTGCATATGATTAAAGTGTTCACTTAGAACTTACTATAATGTCATGGTATGCTTCTTGTTAGAAATAATTCTTGTTGCAAAGAATTCGTAACATCATTCCCTAAAATCACAGGTAATAAATAATAGCTAGCGGAAACGTTACTGACACTGGTTGTTTTTTTATACTTATTTGGAATTTCCATTTATTTTTGTGTGACGTTATTCGGGTTATTCGGAAGCCAAGTTTGCAAGCAATAGGGTATTTGACAGTATTAAAAATAAAGTCCCAATTGTTAGCATCTGTATTTAGAATGAATATTGGAAGGGGTTTTCACTATTTTTACAGAAAAATATTCATAATTTTACTAAAAACCCACGCAAAAGATAATAGTTTTCTTATATATTGTCACGTGACCCAAAACGCTTGGGATTGGCGGAGTATAAAATGACGTCACACGCAAGTAAACTTCCGTTTGACGTTTATATAACAGTCCTGTGACGTCACACACTAGGGAGACGCCATATTGTCAAGAGAAACGTTTTCGCACCAACTTGAAAATGGAGATTTTGATTTTGTTATTTTTACTGAAATATACAACACAATGATGAATATCCACTTTTTACGGACTCAATAAACATTAGTCAATAACGTGAGATCGTTTTCTAAAACTTGTCAAATACCCTATTATGGGGTGATAACATAGATTAACAAGCAGGGCCAACACGGCCTGGAGGGGAGTACGCATACACAGCATTCACCTTTGTCAAGTTGGGCATATAAGATTTAACGATGTATTGTGTCATTGTTTATGTGTAAGTGTCGTAGTTAAAGTTTCTGTTTAATGCGGGTACATTAAACTACGCTTGTGTGCATTTTCCACACCGCAAAAAAATGGCAGAATGATTTGAATGTTGTTGTGTCGCTATGGCTACTCCCTTCCGTTTTGCGCTATGGATGCTAAGTCGCATGCTTAAATATAATTTGTAAGTCTAAAGATTTAAAATCTCTGTGACTATCGGCTTTTATGGGGAATTAGTAGCTGAGGTATATTGTTTTGTTAAAATTAATTGTGTAAGTGATTTATAGAGATTAATGCTGTTTTGTATAAAATGTTACTTACGAAATACGAATAATAGATTGTAAAATAAATAAGTTACTTTGATTGAAGTTGTTTTATTTGAAACAGACATACCTTAAAGTGAGACAATGGAACTTGTACTGTACATATAATTTAAACGAATTTCTCCCAGCACTCCGAAATTATCCAAAACTTATTTGCTAAAACAGATGTTCAGTACAGTCTACTGATTAGTATTAAGGTTAAACATAATCCAATTATAAGCGCGAGTTATGAGCACTGAGCTTGTCAATCTTACAGGAAAGATGATATCCACATTATTCCATTTAAAATGACATGTATTGTTCAGAGTAATTTCACCTTTTATTCCCCTGGGGCATTGATATAAGTACAAGAAACATAAGATATGCCATAGCTATAAAAAAGCATTATAACTTTACTAATTACATAAAAATGTCAAAGAATTATGAATAATAATAATGAATGTACTTTATAGAATTATGAATATTTAAATTGGCTAGGTTAGGTTGAGGAGCTCGATGGCGCAGGTGGTTAGCGCGTCCGGCTGCGATCGTTAAAGTTTAAGCAACTCTCGCAGTGGTCGGTCATTGGATGGGTGACCATAAATCTTCTATCTCGAGTTCCTCCGCGCTTCGGAAAGCACGTTAAGCCGTTGGTCCCGGCTGCATCTGCAGTCGTTAGCACCCGCCAATACGCACAGGCCCCACGTGGTGGGTCAGGGCCCAATCTTCCTATTCCATTCATAGGGAGGGCCTGTGCCCCAGCAGTGGGGAAATTTATAGGCTGATGATGAAGATGATGAAAGTATGGTTTTTGATCATTATATTTTTCAACATTTAACTGCTAGATTTATAAATCGAAGGAACAATTACTGAACAACTAATAACCGTCCAGATTGCGGAAGATGCGGGTTCGAATACTGTCTGAACCCAATTTTCTAGGAAAAAAATCTTTACAAATGGTTGTTGTTCAGTAAAAGGAACTCTTATTGTTGAAAGCCTTATTAATAAGAATGTCCAATGTTAAGTGTCTTTTCATTTCAAAATATTAGGGGAAACCCGGGAGACTTGCTCAGAGAATTGAACCAACTTTCAAAATTGTATTTAAATTAAGCGCAAACTAAACGCCAATCCGTTCATTGGTTACATGCGAGACAAAAATCACAACAAAACAGTCTTGCAAGATGATTCAACTCTTCCACCCGGGTAAGTCTCCCATTTCTTTTTTTACTATGTCTCAACGAATTTCTTTGACTACTGGTCGAAGGAATGCTAAGATTGGATCGATTTTATATCACGAGCTCCGCCGAGCTTCGGAAGGCACGTTGAGCCATTGGTCCTAGGTGCATCAGCAAATGTTATTATCCACCAAACCGCACTGGGCTCGTATGGTGGATCAGGGCTCTACCTCCCTATTCCATCGATTGGGAATGGCCTGTGCTCCAGCAGTGGGGATATTATTTGGCCGTGATGATAATGATGACGACGGATGCGAAACTACAAGCGAAAATAATACTAACTTCGAGGACTAATACTAAAGTAGGTATAATGACAACCTCCGTGGCAGAGTGGTTTGTACGCCGGGTTTTATGGTGACGTCGACTCGAGAGGTCCCGGGTTCGAATCCCGGTGGGAGCAGATGTTTGTGTGATGAATACGAGCATTTGTATTCCAGTCATCGATGTTTAATATGTATTTCTGTATAAATATAGTTTTATATGTACTGTATATGTATTCTATCCGTTACCCTAGTATCCCATAACACAAGCCTTACAGTGCTTACTTTGGAGCTAGGCTAATTGGTGTGAGTGTTGGAAATATTTATTTATTTATTTATAATGTATGGTAGAAAAAAACATTTACTTGAACGGTTGAATTTAGAGGTAAATCAATGTAATTAACTTAAAATACTCGCTTAATAGCAAACGTGTCAATACCGAAGTGTTTGCAACACAATATCTTTGAAACCTAATTATACAATTTCCTTCAAATGA